AGCTAAAATACAATTTAGAGCAGAGGAATGACAACTAAGTAAACTGTTACTTTAACAAAATTTCATTTTACCTGTGGCAATGGAAGGCTGTAACACACTAAAACAGGCTTTCTCCATACTTGATTTTGATCTCAGATGCTGTATACAAACTTCAGCAGCCCAGACAAGCCCAAGTATTTTCAAGTATTTGTCAGAGACAGTAAAATAAGGAAGACTTAGGGAATGGACAATTATCAAAGCTCTTGTACAGGAGCTTTGATGCATAGAAGGAACCACAAAATGTTTACCACAGAGGAGGGAAAACACAAATTAACCAACAGAGTGGAAAATACTGAATGATAAAAGGAATTTTCAATTAATATTGTCATTAATGATCCTGCCACAAAAGGTATCAGTGAAATCTGGCGACAAAAAATTTGGACATTTTGCTGCAAAGAGAAAGATCGAATCACCAAAAGGAAAACTGGATGTCAATAAGGAGCATAATAGAAATGTAATAAAGAACAAAGCACGAGGTCATTTTTTCATGGAATCACTAGGAAATTCTGCTGTCAGTGTTGGGTTGTGATTCAAATGTTTGGATACGATGGAAGAAGGAGACCCAGCTACATCAGCAGGGTGCTGCTCTGAGCTTCCAGTCTGATGTATGCATGGGGGCAAGCAAATTTGTTCTCTGGTTACAATCTGTCCTGCAGAGCTGGGAAAACACTGACACGGTTGTGGGAGGTAACATCCAGACCTCATCTGAAACAGCCTGGTAGCATCTGGTCCCTCACACACCAGGGACTAATGGAAAATACAGGGAATTGGAAGATAATCAAGGTGATAGATTTCTGCCTTGTACAAGGATATTAAAGGTTTGTCTTACAGCAAAATGAAGGCCAAGAGAAGAAACAAAAACTTCAAAGTGTAATGTTGGCACAAGGAACAAGTTCTAATTTCCAGCCTAATATCGGAGAAAGGTGGTCCAAGAATGACTCTCCAAAACTGTATAAAATCATCTAACACTACCTTAAAAGTTACAAATTGTGTAATATGATGCAAGTAAGAATCTGAATGGGAGGTGATTTTTTTTTAATCGACATTTTTCTGTGCAATTCACAAAGAGGTTAATAAGAAAGTTTAGATTCAACAAAAAAAAAGGCAAAAATCTAGCAGGGTTATAAAGGTGGTTAGTGAATAACAAGAATGTCTAAAGTTGTTTTTTTTTAGAAGTACCAAAGCCAACAAAAAAAAAATCACCTAAGATCTAGGGTATCTTGTTTCAAAGGATAATATGGCTTTCATCTAATAGGATTTGGAAGAAACTGTGAACAGATTTTTCATTCTGCCTTCTGCACAATTTCTTGGCTTTCTTACTTCTCTGAAGCAGTTGAATCCAGGAATGACTGAAAGCAGATGAACTATTTCTGAGGTATGATTCAGGATTTTAATCTCTATTACTTCCCCCACCACCACCCTTTAAAAGTCCCATTTTTTAGATGTAGCTCCCAAGCATGTGTCTGAATGTCTCAGTTTGTCATAAACTCGACAACTGCTACATCTCTTTCCAACATCATCTTTTTGTTGCTGAGCTGAAGGAAGGACTAGAGTCTTATTTGTAGGAAGCAACTCATTTACATTTCTTATTAGAAAACAATTCAGACCTCTGGGGCTTGTTTTGGTTTTTAACCCACAAGGATATGAAGGGAAAAGAAAGTCAAAGTCATGAGGAACTTATAATGACAACAGTGCTGTAGTATACAAAGAGAATACACAAAATAAACCTCTCCTTTGTTTCCAGTTTTGGGAGGTTTTATGGCAGAGCTATTCAACATAGAGAACTCTCATCTCTATTGACTAAACAGTTGTTCATCAGCCATAAAAACCCTCAGCATTTTAGTAAATAAATAAATGGTGGAAAGAGTAATTTCTGTAGCATCACAGGGAAAAAATTACTTTCAGTTAATGAAATAGGAAATAAAACCCCAGTGGTTTTTAGGTCTTTCTAGGAGGAAACCACACAAACTACCTCTATAGCTTTATAACAAAACCTCATGATTAATGTATCAGTGTCATAACAAAACAGAATCATAAAGTCATAGAATTATTAAGGTTGGAAAAGACCTTTAAGATCATCCAGTCCAACCACTAACCCAGCACTGCCATGTTCCCCACTAAACCATACCCCCAAGTGCCATGTCCACATGTCTTTAGAACACTTCTAGGGAAGGTGATTCCATCGCTTTCCTGGGTAGCCTGTTCCAATGCCTGACAACCCTTTCAGTGAAGAAATCTTTCTTAATATCCAGCCTAAACATCCCCTGGTGCAACTCAAGCCCGTTTCTTCTGATCCTGTCACTTGCTACCTGGGAGAAGAGGCCAACCTCCACTCGCTACCACCTCATTTCAGGTAGTTGTGTAGAGTGATAACGTCCTCCCTGAGTCTCCTTTTCCCCAGGATAAACAATCTCAGGCTAAACAACTTCTGAAAAATTTAATGAAGTAGTAATTGCACTGAAAATTGTGTTGAATTTTTTTGTCAAAGTACTTGCTTAGCCTCACCTTCCCTCAAAGACAATGTCTAGAGGAGACAACCAAATCATATAATGTAGGATTTGTAGCTTTATTGAACTGAAAAAGTATTTGAAACCATTGTGTAGCATCTTGAAATATGGTCAGCCTTTTAGGATGCAGTCAAGATAGGGTTCATTATGTGCAGTTATCACATAAGAGTTCTATCTTTCTTGATGGCAGAACTTATTCTTAGAAAAAAAACCATATTTTTTTTAGTATTAAACATCTGTCAGAATAATCCGAATAGTTTCACGTTGTTGCTGATGCTTCCTAATCACGAGCCATGAATAATCACATTAAATATTGCAATGTTCCACTAAAAAAAGCAATTTATTTAACATTTTCTAAAACGCTGTTAATTTCTACCTCATGGTGCCTTTCTCCATTTTTTGACAAGTAAGATGAGTAGGGGGACAATAAAATACCACCTGAAGACAATCAACCAGCTACAATTCAATTATTTCTTTTCAGATCTCTCCACAACACCCTCTCCTCCTCAAGGCAAGAGCTGCGTCCTTGGCTTGCAAGAACAACTGCTATCAATATAGCAAGAAATTTATTTATTTATTTATTTAAGTATCATTTAGCTACACTACCCAGTACTACACCTGCTGCTGCTGTTACCAGTGGCAAAAGTGATGACAAATAATCACAGCACTGGGAGCAGAAGCAGAGGCTATTCCATTCACCTGCTGCAACCGGAGAAGTTCCCCCAGGGTTTCCTTCACTACATATTGTTAACAAAATCAAGCACCCAAACTTAGCCTGATTTTATAAATAACATCTTTCACAAACAAGCAGCTATTCTTTCTAGTTCTAATCATTCTATAATTCTGTGATTTTAAGTGATGATAACATAACAGGAACTTTCTGATAGCCTGTGCTGATTAATAATCTGCATGACAACCCTATGTTTTAGAAAAATACTGCTTGATTCCCACGTAATAATTGAGGCTCTGTCAAGTAGGTATAGAGACTAAATCAAAACAACCTGAAAAAAGAAGTTGCATCATTAGCCCAAGCCTCGTGTGTATTACGGACCACTAAACCTGCTTGATTAACATACACAAAAAGCATGAAGACCAAGATTAACCCTGAACCTTTCCATAAGAGCCATCTTTACTGCACTGGCTAAAACAACTGCACACCAACACGAGACTAGCCCAGGCTGGCTAGAGTCTCATCATTCCCTTTGTGCAAAGACTGCTTTAACAAGAAATATCTCATTGGAGTGTAGCTTTATTTAGGGAGGAAAAAACAAAATTAACAAAAAAAAACCCAAACCCTAAAACTTCTGAAATTCTTCAGGATGAGAAGTTCTTTCAAAATAAGGAATTCTCTGCGAAAAGTAATATGAAGCATGAAAGATCATTTTCTAAATCCGTGTCTAGATACTGGCATTTATCTTCTCTCTGTATTTTAACTAACCAGCTAAAGTGGAAACTCACAGGATGAGAGTTTGCAGCTGCGCACCCCACAAGTAAAGCAAGAACTCAAGGCATGCATAAGATTTCTCAGTGGCTACAAGGCTCACATGCAACTGAAAGCTCTGCCAGCTCACCTCCACAAATTAGGACTGTACAAAATAACACCCTTGGTAAGGATCACATCAGCAAAAGCCCAGAAGAGTGCTGCTGCATTTCAGAAGGGTAGAAAGGAAATCCTGATGGAAAAACTTACTGCTTCTGTCAGCAAACAGTGCAGGTTTTTTGCAGAGCTCTGCCAATACAACTACTTGTATGGCACAGACAAACCTACAGACATGCTTAGCCCAAGACTTCCAGCTAACAGCACTTTCTTTATGAGTAGACAATTCCAGACTTCTCGCATATCTTATTTCCGAAGATGAGAAACCCTGCGGCTTGCCAGGTACTGGTAAGTACATCCCCAGCCTGCAAAGTCACGTGAGAAGGAAGGGATAGCCATAGAAGCTGGTGGTGAGTGTGCCACCAGGTAATCCCTCCACATAGACAACCTCAGCTGGAGTCACAAAGTACTGCTGTTGTGGGCCTCACTCCCACCCTGAGACCCACACAGAACCATTTGGATATGTCACAGGAGACTGCACTTCTTGAACTGCACACGACACTGATATCCAACACAGGTGTCCCCATTAACAGATAGCATTACTGACACCATACAGGAGCAGCACTACTATGAATGTGTACAGCCTTTTCCCATGTGAGGTGCACAGCAAGTCACAGTACAGATAAACTGCAGAAATGGATAAAGCATGAACTCTTGCTGGAGTACTACAAGAACTGGACCCCTTTTGTTCATTAACATCATGATAAACAATGTAAATACTGCACAGAAATACAGGTACCTCCAGTCTCTGTGCTGGGAGAAACCTAGAAAATTTAGTGTTTAAGACATAGTACATGAAAGTTCAGAAAGAGTCCTCCCAACCCACAGGATCCCCAGAAATGGAACAGGTTACTTACTCTTCCCAGCTCGTTGGTGGAAAGCCTGTACTAAAGCACCAAGTTCTAGAGTCCTGGGCACCAGCTCTCCTTCAGGTCACTGCAGAAATCAGGCAAGCTGCAAAACAAAACCAAGTCACATACTAAAGTTTTCATTTATGAAGAGTCAGGAAGAGAATAATGAAAACTACTGAGCTTGCAAAGGTGCAGGTGACCAGAAGAAACCTGCACAGCCATCCTCTGTGGCAGTGGGAGATGCAAGGCAATGGGAGGCTGGGAATCAGATGAGCACAGACTGAGTAACCCGAGTAGCCACCTTCAGTTTACATTCTTAAAACCATCTGCATTCAACCATGTGCACAGAGGAGAAGCAAAAGCAGAACAGATGGATCTGTGTATCACAGTGCAGGGATCTTCCCAAACCAGGCAGGTGTCATGAACTGCTGCTGGACTATGGCAGCTCGGGCACATTAAAACACGCTGCAAAGCACGCTTTAAATTCTCTCTCCCTCCGCACTGCAAAACAGACCTGCAGTTTTCCCCATGCACAAACACTGAATATCACAAAGAAAATTAACTTAGAGATGAACCCCGAGTTAGGAAAGAGCAGTAAAATGTGCTCAGTAAACAGTATGTTCATAAAAAAATCATGTTTTCAATTATGCTTGTGTTCAGTAGACATCAACTGTATAATTTATTTTTGCAAGGTCTGTATGCTGCACCACAGCTACTCCACCCCTGGCAAATGATTACATTAATGCTATGGCATTTGGTACTGAGAAATATATTGGGATTGTCGCCACATAGTGACAGAAACACTGTTATACCCCCATCAAAAAATACTCCATCAGCGGCACCAGATTTGTCAGTCAAACTACGCTCTAGGATTCAGGGTATTATTCAACTTTATATTTGTTCCCCCATCTGGAGAAAATAACTATGAAAGACCAAAGATACAAATCTCATCTGCTGTAGAGTTTCAATAATATTTTTTTTTTATTTTGTTAAAGCAAAAGCCTGACTAAATCAAGTCAAATTAGATTCCATTTTAAACAGAGATTTATTCCTTTGTTCTAACAGAAATCCAAGAACTATAAATCCTAGAAAGTATTAAGACAGATTAAGAGAGCTAAAAACATTCTTGCTAAAAAACATATTTGTCATTTGTAAACTTGAAATTAGACCTTTTTATAAACCAGATGAAAAGTAATTTTAAAATATAAAGCTTTTTTAAGAAATCAAGAAAATATACTCACTTTATTATTAATAATAAAATTGCACTTTAAAAAAAAAGGTATTCAAGGAGGCAGGAAGAAAACAGACCAATGTTCACTAAACTAATATTCTAACTTAATTTAGCAGGCACATTTGTGGACTTTTGTATCAGATTATCAGATTTCAGTATTCAAGAGAGAGGAAAAAAAAGGAGAAGAGAAAGAAAACATGTTGTTAACATCTTCATACCAGGAAAGCCAAGCAACTAGCAAGTTCCTGATGCTTGCGATTCATGGGTTTCAAATAAACAAAACTTTCTGGGTTAAATGCTGAGACCTGAAACTTCTCTACAGACTGAGCATACATGCTAGCATTCCAAATAATTTTAAGGGGTTTCTTCCCAACGTAATCAAACAGATGCATCTGTCTGTGTTGGCACAGCCATTTTTATAATTAATCCTTTTCATTCTATATATGAAATGTAATTTGTTCTAAATCAAGCCTAGAGTAACTAAAACAGAAACAGTAATCAATTCAATAAAAAAATTAGGCAACAACTCAAAAAGCTTTTTACGTCTGAAAGAAAACAGTTTTATGATCCAAACTAAGACAGGGTCAGCCATCAGTTCTGAGATCAGAGGAAAACCTGAAATACAAAGTAAAGGTCTCAAAGGTTGGAAAAACAGCCTCTTCAACAAAACAGCAGATAGAAAATTGCAAAACAAAGTTTCAACAACAGAAATCTGACCTCTGACCAAAAGTGATATTAACACTAATGGCACAAATTCCTGAAACTGTGCTGCCACACACCCAACATTTTCTATTTCCCAGTTGAGAATCCCCCACCCTGTCTTTCCCTTCCTCTGCATGGTGCTGAAAATGTCCACTTCTCCACCCACATTTTTACCATGTTGCCTGCCTTGAAGATAGGCAGACTTAAAAACAACTTCAGAACGAAGAAATTTTTTTTCTCCCTGTTTATAAATCTTCATATTTCAAGAAAAGCTCAGGCAACCAACAAAGTAGCCAGCTCAGTCTCCCAGGCCTATGCAAGCCGGAATAATTCATTTAGGACTTTATTAAAAGCCGTAAATTGGAAGGCAGATATCATGCAGGCATCGATACCCTTCTTAGAGAAGGAATCAGCAAATGCAACGCCCACAGATGACACAGTAGGAACATACTGTTACCATTAATAAAATAAACAACTGGCTGGTTGAGGTAATAACAGGTGCAAGTTTAAAAAACTAAGTAGTCCCTGTTTCCTCCTTTTGCAAAAATGGGGCTATAGCTACATATCCTTGAAGTGAGATTAGATATTTCTGGGTACTTGGATTTCTGTGGGACACAGATCTGCAATCCAGTTCTCAGCTAGCTTTAGAAACAAGTCATCTCAAAGGTGCCTGTGTGCAACCTGATCTTGAGCACATTACAGAATTTCAGTTACAATAATAAAACCAAACACCAGTAAGCAAAGAAAAAAACTGGGCATTATTCCCAACTCATAAGATGCTAGAACAAAACGTACTTTTGTATATCTCTCAAAACAGAGACAAATCTCTACCCAAGAGATCTCTACCTTGCAGATTTGTAACATCTGAACTCAGACCAAATCTACTTTCTTGAAGTTTAGCAGGAATTTACCAAGTTAGGAATCACTGCACTTAGGAATCCCCCCCTCCGCTGTAGTCTGTGCTTGGGCGTGGTGGCTTCCTGACAACAGCTAAGAAGGTTAGCTGGTTTGATTGCTCTCCTTCCCAACCACCTTGCTCTTGGTAAGGAACTTTAAAATTTAGACTAAATATGAAAGAGCCAGGTTCCTAATCACCGAATTTCAGCTGGAGTAATTCAGTACCAAAATAGGTTTTATACTTCAGTAACTCTTTTTCCTGAAGCGCACACACTATATAGGTGGATTGCTCAGCAATGACAATTTTTGTTCTTGTCTTTAAATAAGAAAAAGTCCTGCACCAGCAAGATTCTCAGATGCTTCTGTTGACTTAAACTGAGATACTCTGATTTAAATCCACTTAAATATAAAAACTGACACAAAATCCAAAAATATTCACCAACTCTTCCCCCCTTTCCCATTGGGCAACTGCTTCTCAGATGGGCTGCAGGAAAGAGCAGCCAGGCTGGCTTAGAGGTGGCACATCTCTCCAGGGAGAGCAACAGATAGTTTTCCACTTCTTCACGTTGAATACTTGTTTTATAGGAAAACAAACCCATCTATTTGAATACAAATTTTAAGAATTCTATCACTCTGGAGCATTTCTGTGTTCTTTACAGTGCTGTCTATACATTGCTTTCAGATTGCAAATCTGTCTGTGTTGAGCAGGGTGAAAGGGTGTAAAAGCAGCAACATTCAAGTCAGTAAGAATCTAGTTGCTCCTGGAAAAATAACTACAGATTTCCCAATTCCTGTGATTTTAGAATGGAAGCACAGTTACAAATTTATGTGTAAGGCTGAGGATATTACATATCTATATTACTCATCATATAGAGATGAGAACTGATAGCAGTATGACACTGGTGAGTTTTCACACTGCAGCTTCCTCTAACGCACACACACAGACATGCAGACGTGCTGCATTGACATTATCAGACTGGCGGGGTCTGCCTTAAAATGTCTTTTAAATAAGAATCCCTGGATCCTACCTACTCCTCCATTAAAATTTCACCTCTTCCTCCAATTTCATAATAGAAGAAAGAAGTTATCCAGCATAACATCAATAATTAATAAGTACAGTGTGGTCATCTATTTTAGGGATAATTTTTTCTCTTTCCTTCTAGAAAGCACATTATCAGTTTCTAACTCAAGTCCATCAGACAGCCTCCCAGTAAGCCTCATGCAACAGTCCCGAGAATCCAGGCTACTGGGGTCTGTTTCTGAAAGGAGGAGAGCTTCATTTTCTTCCGAGGTTTCTAAGGGCCTTAGTCTGGAAATAGCTTTTAAAAATCACAAAAACCAAAAAACCAACAAACCAAACCATACCAACAATGACAAAAAAAATTACGTTTTTTTTTTAATAATAATAATTAAAGAAAAATCTGCCAAGTGTATTAACAAATTGCACTTCAACCTGACAGACGTGGAGGACTCTCATCAAAGATGGAGTGGAGGAGAAGGCCGCTGTCACACCTCAAGAACTCCCTGATGCTTTTAGCATCTACCTTTCTCTGCATCTCACCTTCCTTGGCAGCAGTTTCTGCTCAATCCAGAGAAGGAAGCACCTAACACATTAATTCGCTTACTGCCCTAGAGGGCCAAAAGGAAAATTGCATCACTTAAATGGTTTTACCTTCCCAAATTTTTGAAGGTCAGGAAGAAGCTTTCTTTCACAATTAGTGGCTAAAACACTGAAATGCACATGGCACTGTTTTATTTATGAACTCTGAGAAGTGCAATAAAACTGAAGAGATTTGGTTTACCACTACTTGCAGGAGGTGTCCCACTCTTCCCCTTCCAGGTTAAAAAGCATATTCTGGATACCTTCCTGGAAAGGATAGGTGGAGGCCTCTGGTCCTCGTGGGCCAACAAGAAACATGAACATGGGTCTTTTGCCTCCCCATGATGAAGACTGACCAGGGGATTACTGCAGAATAGACAACAAGGAGGGAAAGTCTCGATATTTATGAAGGATACTAAGGTCTGTCCCCTTCATTTTAGAGATTCTTTTTATTAAAAATATCCAAACTGGATATTGCAAGATAGATTTTGTTCTTCCTTTAAAGTTTTGAACAGAAGCAGGCACATGGGAGTAGGGTTAAGAAACTTTCATGCCACTCTGGACCAAAACTATATTTTCATTTTAGCCAATCCTCCCCACCACTGCACTCAAAACACTGCAGACCTCCACATTGCCGGTGACTGTTCTCAAACACTACAGTGTTATTTTGGTC